GGATATTGAACTCGCATATCCTCTTCTCGCTCCCAGGTAGCTTCCTCGCCTGAATGATTTTTCAAAAGAACCTTCACTAAGGGGATTCTCTTATTTCTAAGCTCTTTTATCTCATGTGCTAAGATTTAGATTGGTTTTTCTTCATATGTCAAATCAGGATTAACCTTAATAGACTCAATAGGAAGAACATGAGATGGATCTGAGCGGCATTTTCGAAGCATAGAAACATGAAAAACATTGTGGATCTTGCCTAATTTAGGTGGCAAAGCTAGCTTATATGCAACTGGACCAATTCTCTCAAGTATTTCATAAGGTCCAATGAATCGAGGACTAAGTTTACCTTTTTGGCCAAATCTCATAATCTTCTTCCATGGAGATACTTTTAAAAATACCTTATCGCCCGCCTGATGCTCAATTTCATGCCTTTTAAGATCAGCATAGGATTTTTGTCTATCTGAAGAAATTTTCAAACGATCCTTGATGATTTTCACCTTATCTTCAATTTGTTACGCAATCTCAGGACCCACCAATTTTCTTTCACCAACCTCGTTCCAACAAAGAGGCGTTCTACATTTTCTCCCATATAAAGCTTCATAAGGAGGCATGCCTATACTTGATTGGTAGCTATTATTGTAAGCAAATTGTATCAGAGCTAAGTATCTGTCATAACTACCCTCAAACTCAATAATGCAGGCTCAAAGCATATCCTCCAAGATTTGTATTACCCTCTTAGACTAGCCATCTGTTTGTGGATGGAAAGTGGTACTAAAATTCAACCTGGAACCCAAAGTTTCTTGCAAGCTAGACCAAAATCTGGATGCAAACCTTGGATCTCTGTCAGACACAATAGAAACAGGGATTCCATGCAGCCTCACAATCTCATTAGTGTATAATTCTGCCAAACGTTTCAGTGAGTAGTCCATTTTGATTGCCAAGAAATTAGCACTCTTAGTTAGTCTATCTACAATGACCCAAATTGCATCATGATTTCTTTGAGTGTGTGGAAGTTCAGAAACAAAGTCCATCATTATCCTTTCCCATTTCCATTTAGGTATTGACAAGGGTTGCAGTAACCCATCTAGGACTTGATGTTCAGCTTTTATTTGTTGACATACCAAACATTTAGAAATAAACTCTGCAATGTCTTTCTTCATAGCACTCCACGAGTAGTGCTCCTTAATGGTCCAATACATTTTAGTACTTCCAGGATGCATTGCATAAGGTGAACTATGTTCTTCAATTAAGATCTGCTTCCTCAATTCATCATCATTAGGAATACACAACCTATCTTTATAAAATAAGGTACCATCTTTCTTTAATGAAAAATCTGATTCTCTTCCATTTTGGACTTCTTCAACCCGTTTCACAAACTTCTCATCTAACTTCTGTGCCTCTTGGACCTGCTCAAAAGACTGGCTTGACTTGCAAATTAGAAATGATAGAACCATTAGAATTAATTGAAAGGCAAACATTCATGGCTCTTAATTCAAGAAGCAAAGGCAAATGACTTAGAGTTAAACTTGCAAGGGAATTGCGATTCAACGCATCTGCAACCACATTGGCTTTACCAGGATGATAATCAATCGTGCAATCATAATCTTTGATAAGTTCAAGCTATCTATGTTGTCTCAAATTTAACTCTTTTTGTGTACCCAAGTACATCAAACTCTTATGATCAGTAAATATGTGACACTTCTCTCCGTACAAGTAATGCCTCTAAATTTTTAAGGCAAAAACAATGGCAGCAAGTTCAATTACTTTCCCTTCTTGCATCAAAATACAACCCAAGCCACGATGAGATGCATCACTGTATACCACATAATCTTTCTCTTCAGCTGGCAAAGAAAGTATTGGAGCTTGTGTCAACAAGGATTTGAGCTTTTCAAAGCTCTCTTGACACTTGTCATCCCATAAAAACTTAGTATCTTTCCCCAAAAGTTTGGTCAAAGGAGAAACTATAATAGAGAAGCCCTTCACAAACCTCCTGTAGTATCCTACTAAACCTAAGAAACTTTTTATCTCAGTTGGAGTTTTAGGGAGTTTCCAATCAACGATAGCTTGAATCTTACTAGGATCAACCTTCACACCTTCAGCTGATACAATATGCCCCAAAAAAGTCACTTCACTCAGCCAAAATTCACATTTGGAAAGCTTCGCGTAGAGTTGCCTCTCTTTCAGAATTTGATATGCTTATCATGATCTTTTCTATCCTTGGAATGGTCTAAAATGTCATCAATAAACACCACCACAAATTGATCAAGATAAGGCTTGAATATATGGTTCATTAGATCCATAAATGCAGTAGGAGCATTTGTCAAACCAAATGGCATTACCAAAAAATCATAATGGCCATACCTGGTCCTAAAAACAGTTTTAGGGACATCTTGCTCCGTCACGCGCAATTGGTAATATCCAGACCTCAAGTCAATTTTTGAGAATAAGTTGGCACCCTTCAATTGGTCAAAAAAGTCATCGATTCTAGGTAGTGAGTATTTGTTCTTGATTGTTGCCTTGTTCAGCTGCCGGTAATCAACGCAAAGCCTAAGAGTGCCATCTTTCTTTTTCACAAATAAAACAGGAGCTCCCCAAGGCAAAATACTGGGACAGATAAAACCTTTCTCAAGAAGTTCTTGCAATTGAGCCTTTAACTCTTTTAATTCAGCTGGAGCCATTCTATAAGGAGTGATAGAAATAGGAGTAGTTCCAAGGAGAAGATTTATAGGAAATTCAATCTCCCTTTCTGGAGGCAACCCAGGAAGATCATCAGGAAATACATCAGGAAAGTCGCACACGGTTGGTATGTCCTTAAAACTTGGATTCACTAATCGTGTATCGACTATATGAGCAAGATATGCATCACAACCTTGACAAATCATCTTCCTTGCCAAAACCGCAGAAATAATATTAGATGTCAATGATCTTTCTCCTTGAACTACTACGTGTGAATATGCAGGAGTTCTAAAAGTCACTTGCTTCAACCTACAATCAACCAATGCATGGTGCCTATGGAGCCAATTCATACCAACAATAACATCATAGTCTTGGAAGGGCATTTCAAGCAAGTTGGTAGGGAAGACCAGATTTGAATCATGAATGGACAATCTCGGTAAATCCTATTAACAACAGCTTGATGACCTAATGGACTCATAACCAGCACATCAAAGTCAAGTCTAACAGATTTAACATTATCAGGAAATGTAAGTGATGAGCAAACATAAGAGTGCGAAGATCCAGAATCAAATAATGTAACAATAGATATGCCAAATAAGTGAAATTTACCAACAACCACGTCTGGGCCATCCTGTTGGTCATTCTTCTATCTCATAGCATAAACTCATGCAGTAGCTCTCGACCCACTAGCCTGATTAGCTCCACTCGAACCCACTGCTTGCATATTTCGAGGTCTAGCACCACTATTAGCTTGAGAATGAGTAGTTACAGGCTTTTGAACTGAGCCTTCTATATATGTATAAGAAAGAGGATTAGGATTAGGACAATCCATCACTTTATGATCCATACTTCTACAATTAAAACAAGCACTAGAATCTCGTCTAAATGCTCCATAATGATTCTTCCCGCACTGTGCACAAGTAGGTGTATGAGTTTTGCTTTGGCCATAACTTGGAGTACTGGCAGTAGAAAAATTCGACTTATTCTGCTTATGATGTGATGATTTATGTGTACTTTCAGTCTTGGAATAGTCAAACCTTCCCTTCTTGGATGGACCGCCATAATCTGAATTACCCTTCCTAAGCCTGTTTTCTCTCATGCCAGCTTCTTCCTTGTCAATTCTTTCCCAAGTAAGTGCAGCTGAAATTAGCTTGGAAAAATCCTCAAGTTGTAAGATCGCCATAGATTTTCGAATGTAACCATTCAAACCTTCTTCAAATCTTCTACACTTGTCTCTTTCACCATCAATAATACCTCCAGCATAGCGAGAAAGCCTGAGAAAGTTTTGTTGATACTCTGCAATAGACATACTCCCTTGTCTTAAATTCAAAAACTCTTTCTTTTTAGCATCACAATAGATAGGAGGGACATATTTTGCACGAAATGATTTCACAAAGTCATCCCAAGTCAGCACTGGAGGTTTTGCTTTTGCATTTGGCACACTTACCCACCAATCATAGGCATATTTTTGTAAAGAGATATAGCATACTTAAATTTGGCAACATTAGTACACTCTAGTTGTTCAAAGACCCTCTCCATATGCTCGAGCCACTGTTCAACTACTGTGGGATCAGTAGTGCCTTCAAATTCAACTCCACCCATTTTCCTCATCTTCTCAAAATTAATTTCACTAGGTTCTGACATTGTCCAAGCCAAGTGACGAAGGAACTCAGCCATCTGCTAAAATGGAGGAGTTATAGATGGAGTATTATGATTGATCTTGGATTACTGCACACCTCATTTTCACTAACACGAGTATGATTTAGGTCAGACAACGGTTCCTCATCTCCTCTTTGAAGGTGAGGTGGAGCATTATAATGGGCTTGATTTTCGTCAACAGATTCACTAGCTCTATTCGAAGAGGATGCCATATTAGAATTCCTTTAAAAGATAAGATCACACTGCACTAGAGACATGTACATGATGCATATGCACAAGTAATATAACAAATTATATTACACAAGTATGCAAAAATTTATAATCTCCGATGTATTTTCAAGAAAGGAAATAACAACAATTACTAGGTCCGATCACAACAACAAAAAAATCCTAGAATCACAAACCTAGGCTCTGATACCAAAACTTGTAGCAACCCCTTTGGGAGGGTGATTCTTAGGAAACAAATCTAATGAACTACTTATAAAATATTAAAAAAGATATTAGTTAAAAATATTCAGAATAATTTAGTAGCGGAAATAGGCCCATGCAAAAAGGTTCAAAGTGCAATATTTTTTTTGTTTTGAAAATACACTTCATAATTTTATTTTAAATGAAATACAATGTCAAAATATCAACATAAGTGATATAACCCTTCTTGAACAATCAACAGATTAAAGCAACTTCCTAACAAATTTATACTTTCATTCAACATCACTGCAAGTTTGTATTATACATACTTACAAGACAAAGTGTAAATTTAGCATATTACAAGACTTGAGTTATTAACACACACAAAAACAGCGAAATAAGTTACCAAATTTAAATTACAAGATTTTGGTCTTAAAATCCAACAAGCCTCCAAATAACATACATAAATATATATATTATGTACATGTCCCAAAACTATGCAAAACCAAGGTGCATATGCAAATGTGATCTCCATAAGTGCTCCCAAAAGACTACTTCATAATGGCCGTCTTCAGATTTCATCCTGTACATTACCTACGATAGAAAATAACTATCACTAAGCATAAAGCTTAGTGACGTATAAACTTTGGGCTTGGAGTCCTTAAATTCTCCAATTCCCCTTTTCTGTCATAGTTAGCTCAATTTAACATAATTTAAAATAAGTTAACAAATATATCAAACATATCAAATATTAAACTTTAAAGTGTTTCCAAATATTAATAAGAATATTCAAGAGTCTAGAAAGCATATACTATCAATCCAAGAGAGTTTACCAAATATTCATTTTTCGCCCAATATGTATGTCATGCCATCACACTAAGCATAATCAAATATCAAGATGGACCGAAGCCCCAAATCAAGTAGGGTCAAAACTCAATAGTCAAGAGAATCAAGAACCATATTAAAAATGGCTTCCTAGTTCGTACTTAACACGGACAAGTTCCATAATTTAAGACAAACTACAAATCCAAAGTCAAGATGGAAAAAGATCCAAATCAAGAGGCATACCAAGAGGAGTGACAAAGTCACTGCCACAAGAAGGACATAGTCCCAACAAGAATGCAAAATGATCAAACAATCCGTACAAATGAGCGATTTAGCAAATATCTGACAATACTTGATATAATACGAATATAACAATATAAATTGAAAACAATAAAAAATAAATATTAGGTTATTTCAAAATATTCCAGCAAGCAAAAAGATTACAAAGTCTGTACACAAACTTTTGTGTTTTACCACAACACAGTTCAATCACAACTTGGGGACGTTCGAATCGTCTACGCCGTAAACAAACCAAATTCGTCAACTTCCTCAAACACTTTCCCTTTGATTTTTCAAGGGTTTATATACCTTAAATACATAATAAAATATCTAAATAAGTTCAGTGATTTAATATGTCAAACTAAACATGATATTGGTGAAAATTACCCAAAAATATTTGAAGCAGAAATTCTGGACAGTATCACTATTCCATGTTGTGGCTCGGTTTTGAAGATCTAAACGGATACACTAGACTGTATAGTCTTCATAAAAGTTGTAGATATATGTCGTAGTGTTTCGGAACATCTTGAATCACCCCCATATCTATTTTGTACAGAAAGTTATGCTACAATTACTAACAGTAGTTCATGGAGTATTTCCAAAACTGAAAATCTGGGCAGCACCTGCCCTGCACTTTCTGATCCCTTTTCGGGTAAATTCCAGTAAAAATAAATTTTGGTTCCTTCATAGGAGTTTTAGATCTATGAAATACCTTTTCAGAAAGTCATGGATCACTTAAATCGGAGCTCTGTACAAAAAGATATGTAGAAAACACTGATAGCTATCTAGTGTAAAAACGAGTTAAGAAACTTACCACAAAAGAGAGGAGCAACTTAATCTTCACCAAAAAACGAATTTTGCTGGTTGATTTACTAGAAATTTATGGTGGTTTCATGAAGTTTTTAAAGGCTAAGAATGAGATAGGGTAAGTGGTTTTATTTCTTTGTCTTGGAAGAATGAAACAAGAGAGAAGGATATGGAAAGGCAAGTCTTTCAAAGTTATATCTAAACATTGGATAAGTATAAAAAATGTGGCTTTCCAAATTACTAATATCTTTAGATAAATACAAAAGGTTGGCAGCCCAAAAACTTAATTATATAATGTATTTAATAACAATTCATCAAAATAATATTAAGTGTTACACATAGCAACACCATGGAGCTTCTTTGTCAATATTAACACAACCTAAAGTAAGAAATTTTCATATATTGTCAATTTCACGTTTAGGAAGTTATAAAAATGCCCAATCAAGAATGCAAATATTATTAAAATTTTGAGTTGTTACAAATATCCACAGGCTTGGATCACCCTTTAGATATCTCAAAACATGGTATGGAGCTTTCAGATGACTTTCTCTAGGTAACTGCATGTATTGACTAAGGTGTTGGATACTGTAGATTATATCAAGCCTTGTATTTGTCAAAAAATTCAACTTACCTCCCAGTTTTCTGTAGTTGGAAGGGCCAATCAACAATAGACTTTCATCTGCCTTCAGCTTTATAGAAGGATCAAGAGGTGATGTTAGGCTGGAATATTGAGCACATTCAAACTCTTTCAGCAGATCCATAGTGAACTTTCTTTGAGATATTAACACTCCATCTTCTTTGTAGAGTACTTCCATCTCTAAGAAGTAGTGTAACCTTCCTAAATCATTTATCTTGAAAGTTTCATGCAGGAAACTCTTTAAAGAATCAATCTCTTCCTGGTGAGTCCCTGTTACAATAACATCATCTACATATACATCTAGCTACAAACACCACTAAAGATCCCTTATTTTTGTGAAACAAGGAGTAGTCCAATAGTGAGTGTGTGTATCCTTTGGAACATAAAGCTGCAGTCAATTTCTCATACCATTGCCTGCTTGCTTGCTTGAGTCCATATAGAGACTTATTCAACTTGCATACTAAACCTGACTTGTCTACTACTAGGCCCTGGGGCACCTCCATGTATACTTCCTCATGTAGATCTCCATGAAGTAAGGCATTGATTACATCTAATTAAAACATCTTTCTTCACAACAGTTCCTATTAGTGCTCTCACAGTTGTCATTTTTACAACAGGTGAGAATATTTCTGTGTAATCTATCCTTGCTTTCTGTGTGTATCCCTTTTCCACTAATCTATCCTTAAACCTCTCAATACTACCATTAGACTTATATTTTATTTTATACACCCACATACACCCTATTGCACTTTTACCAACTAACAATGGTACAAGACTCCATGTATTGTTGACCATCAAGGCCTCAAACTCTTGATTCATGGCTGACTGCCATGCATGGGTTACAACTGCCTCTTCAAAAGAAGTAGGTTCACATTCATGTGAAATATTTCTTACCAATTGTTGACTGTCAGAACTTAACACATTAAGAGAAATATATTATGCATTAGGTACATAAGTGGCAAAATAAAGAGAAGAGTTACAGTCATTTGAGAAATCAGTCTGTGGAGAGGATTGATTCTGTAGGTCATGTAGCTTAGGAAGAGAATAGTTATAGTCTTTTAGGTATGTAGGAATTTTGTGTGTTCTCGAGGGTCTAGTTTGTGTGGGGCCTAAATGATATTCTTGTTGGTTTGCAATGCTTGGACTATTTATATTGGGTGGAGATTCTTGGTATTCATTGTTAGGTGACATTTGTTCACTGTGGTTGAACTTTGTGAATTGTGTCCTGTTGGAGCTGGACTGTAGTGAAAACTGCCTATGTGAAGGCTCAGGTGACACTACATTGTGATGTTGGTTTGATGGATTTGAAGTTATTTCTCTGGGAGGAAAGAAATCAGAAGCTAAGTCTGTATTGACTCGAGGAAATAAAGGAAAAACTTTATTTGACTTAGAAAGCAAGGTGAAAGGAAAGACATCCTCATGGAAGACTACATCTCTTGAAACATGGATCCTCTTTGTGATTAAATTTAATACCTTGTATCCCTTTGTCCCAAAGGGGTACCCCACAAACACATGAGGCTGAGTTCTAGCTTCAAATTTGTCCCAATGAGTCTTAAGTGTGGTAGGGAAGCATAAACAACCAAAACTCTTGAGATGTGAATATGAGGGTTTTTTCTTATAGAGTAGCTCAAAAGTGCATTTGCCTTTGAGAGAAGAAGAAGGTAATCTATTTATTATGTAAGTGGAGGTAAGAATGCACTCTCCCCAATATTGTAAGGGTAGTTTTGATTGATACAATAGTGCTTTTGTTGTTTCTAGCAAGTACTTATGTTTTCTCTCCGCTACACCATTTTGTTAGGGTGTGTATGGACATGTTCTTTAATGAGTAACTTCCCAAGATTGAAAGAAAGAGGTAGTTTCCAAATTGATAAACTCAGTCACATTGTCTGTTCTTATAGTTTTGACAGAGGTGTTAAACTGAGCTTTCACCATAGCAAATAAAGCTTTTATGGTTTGTAGAGTATTGCTCTTACAACTCAACAGATGTGTCCATGTGCACCTACTATAATCATCTACAAGGGTGATGAAATACTTGTGTCTATCATGAGTTGTAATGTGATATGGTCCCCACAAATCAACACGTAATGTTTCAAAGATTTTAGTTGTAAGAGTGGTTCTTTCTGGAAAGGGTAGTCTGCTTTGTCTGGACATTGTGCATATAGGGCAAATAAAAAGTTGTGTAGGTGTGAATTTGACGGGTATCTCATTAATCCCCTTCATATTGGAAAATGAAATATGTCCTAGTCTATTGTGCCACAAAAGTTCAACCATGTTTCTATCAGATGTAGATGTGAAAGTAGAGATAGAGGTAGATATATTTGATAGAGAAATATTTGCTTTACTACTTGAAGATGAAGTATTAACACTGGAGTATTTATGTGAGTCAACATACCTTTTATTACAAGTATCATATGAAATAGGTAAACTAGATGCAACGGGAGGAACAAAATATGAATGAGGGTGTGCATTATTCTTATCAGGTATACTAGATGAAACTTGAGTAGGTATTGAAACATTCTTGTAGAGGTTTGAAATGTGATAGTATAGGCCATCAGAAGCCTTACCAATCTCCAGAGGCCTCTTCAGTGAAGGGGCATGCAGAAGAATACATGAAAATTTGGTAAAGATAACATAGTAATCAAACTGCACTGTCAAACAATGAATAGATATTAGGTTGAATTTGAAACTGGGTACAAAACGAACTCTTTTGAGTGTGAATTTAGGACTCAAAACCACATCACCTACTAGTGTCGCCTTCACTTTATATCCATAAAGCAGTGTGACTAGGAAAGGATAGACTAAGGTTTTGATATTAGTTAGAATGGATTTGTGGTATGTCATGTGATTTGTGGCCCCAGAATCAAGTATCCAAGAGTCAACATTTAGTTTAAAACATTCATATAAACGAACACAAGAATCAGAAGAAGTAGAGCAAGCTGAAATACCTGCAAAATTTACTGCTACATCCTTCATTCAGAATTGTCTTCTGTGCTTCCAGTTTGAAAATTTTCTAGAATGCTGATTAGTTGATTATACTGCTCTTTGGTCAAGTTTTTCATCACTCGTCCTTCTTCTTGAGTCTGTGGCCTTTCCCCATCTCCTAGGCTTGTGACCTTGTTACCATAATCTCCAAACACATTTGCAGCTACTCGTTTTCCCTTATTGAACTTAGAGTCTTGTGGATAACCATGAAGTTTGAAGCACCTATCCTTGGTATGCCCTGACTTCTTGCAATAATCACAGACTGGTCATGGCCTATTTATAGGGTAATTTCCTCTTAAGCTATTGCCCCCAGTCCCACTTGACTAGTTGTAGTTCATGTGGGAACTCCCTCCAGACCCGTTTCCTTGTTGACCATAACTTGTTCTGAAATTGTTGTTTGCTTCCATGTTCACACTCAAAGTACTAGAATCAATCATCAATTAATTGTTTGGCTTCATCTCCCTTTGTTTCTCCTCTTGGATTAGAATGGCAAATGCTTGTTCTAGGGAAGGTAAAGGGTTCATCATTAGAATGCTTCCCCTGACAACAGTGTAAACTTCATTTAATCCCATTAAAACTGAATTAACCTCATGTCCTGTTCAGCCTTATGCATACTCGCCTTGGCACCACATCTACACTGGCATTTGCATTGGGCATGAGCATTCAGGGTATTCAACTCTTCCCACAGCTTCTTCATCTTAGTATAGTATCCAGTAATGTCGAGTGTTCCTTGACTCAAATCATTGATTTTTTTCTACAATTGATAGAATTTTGACCCATTGGTTTGATCATACCTGTCCTCCAACTCTTCCCAAAGCTCTTTGGCATCGTTCACATACTGCAGGCTATCTGCTAAGTCCTTTGATAGAGAGTTCAAAATTCATGAAGTCACTACATTATCACACCGTTCCCATTGATAAAAGGTAGGGTCTTTTGAGTCTGGTTTCCCACACTTACCATTTATAAGTCTACTTTATTTTTCATAGAAAGAGCCCTAAGCACTCCTCGCCTCCATGATTTATACCCCGATCTATCAGAAACTACTGGTACAAGCATGGAACTTGCATTTTCGGATGGATGCATGTAAAGCAAATTAGTTGAATCAAGCAGCGAATTAGTGGAATCCGATGTGTTTTCCTCAATCTCCATGATTTTAATCGATGTGCGTATGCAGAAGCACCTCAATCACTGGATTTCTATGTCGATCTCAACTTTAGGGTTGGCCTCAGATCTCAATTGAAATAACATTGAACTTAGATTTTATGGACCCAAAAAGGACGAAATTGAGCTAGAGATTAGAACCTCTGCTCTGATACCATGACAAAATCATAAAAGAAAGAGATACCCTATATATTAGTAATCCAATGGAGGAAAATTAGTAATCCTAGCTAAGAGAGAAGTGAGAAGCTTTGAGAAGCATAATTGGGGAAAATGTAATTGAATATTCCACCTTACAAAAATGTCTAAATACCCTATATATACACATGACTTTTCATACCCACTCACTTGAGAGTTGGCAACAGTTGTCCACTAACTAACAATGACTAACATATATTAACATCTAATA